TAAGTTACACCCGAGGAGTTGACAAAGCGCTAGGATCTGCACCTTCAGGCTTCCACACAGACTGCAGCAGTTCAGAAGTGGCTCACCTTCAACTTTTTAAGGGTGTTTAGGGATGAGACTGATGCTGGCCTTAACCATAACATCATAATATTAGGCTAAAACCCTGGGCTAATATAACTCCAGAGTCTGATTTAAATCCCTCCAGATTCACTTTCCACTTATTTCACAAAGGCAACAATGCTGTTCATTGTTAAGTCATCCTGTGATGTCGACAGGAATTGGTAGTAAAACTCTCTGCTGGTTGGAGTCATACCTGACACAGGAAGATGGTGGTTGTTGTTGGAGGTCAGTCAGATCAGCTCTAGGACATTCCTGCAAGAGTTCCACAGGGTAGTGTCCTAGGCCTAACCATCTTAAGCTGCTTCATCATTGACCTTCCCTCCATCATAACATCAGATGTGGGATAATTTGACCTCGACCACCCCCGACCTCATCCCAAGACCAGCTCCCCCCTCTCATCCCCGCCTCAATGACCTGTCCATCTTCTCTCCCACCTATCCGCTCCTCCCATCTCACTGACCAATCCCTACCAATACCTACCTGCTATCACTGCCTACCTCCTTATTTATTTCAGAGCCCCCTTCCCCTCCCCCATTTCTGAAGAAGGGTCCTGATCCGAAACGTCAGCTTTCCTGCTCCTCTGATGCTGCCTGGCCTGCTGTGTTCATCCAGCTCTACACTGTGTTATCTCTGACTCCAGCATCGGCAGTTCTTACTGTCCCTCAATCCAAACAGATGGTGCAAAAAAGTAGTGAGCTAACCCTCACCACTATATTTATGTATCAACTGACTTTATCATCCAGGGAGAGAGGGAAAAGCTCACTTATTTCTTTACAGCAAATCATAGAATCTCTATAGTATGGATGCAGGCCATTCAGCACACTGACTGTCTGAAGAGCATTCCACCCCATCCCTGTAACCCTGCATTTCCCATGGCTAATCCAACTAGCTTGCCCATCCTTGGGTAATTTAGCACAGCCAATCCACCTAGCCTGTACAGCTTTGGACTGTGGGAGGAAACCCACACAGACACAAGGTGAATGTGCAAACTCCACACATACAGTTGCCTAAGGCTGGAATTGAACCTAGCTCCCTGGTGCTGAGAGGCAGCAGTGCTAACCACTGAGCTACTATCCTGCCCAGCACCAGTGTGCAGTGTTAGCAGTGTGTGCCATCTGTAAAATGCACTGAAGCATCTCTCCAAGGTAATCAATTGAAACAACTTCAGTGTTTTGAAGGAGGTCTTTTACAAAAATCATTCTAACTTTTATCTTGACAATATGCATCACTTCTTCACTTCCCACAATCAAAAAATTGACATTTTCTAATCAACCTGTTCAGAGGTGCTAGTATATACCTTGGGGACAGGTGGGACTTAAACCCAGATATACATGCTCAAAGGCAGCCACACTACCATTGCACCCAAGAGCCCCTCAAGCTGCCTTTATGTAATGCCTTACACTTCCAAATTGCTTTACAGCCAGTGAAGTGTCTTGTTTCATGATAAATGCGCTATTGATAAGAGCTAATGATCATGTGTTTCAAAGAGGGATATAGATGCCATATTCAATATTGAAGGTCCAGTTATAGTTCATAGATAAAAGAGATATGAGGATTCAGAATGAAGGTAAATATTGTTGTGGAATGATAAAATGCTGGACCAGAATTTAAAAGCTATGGTTGATGTCCTAGTAACCCACAGAATGAAGAGGAGTGCAAGGCCATTCTCTTATTTTAAGTTTTTATTTAAAGTAAATCAGAAAGTGCTGGAGAAACGCAACAGGTCTGGCAGCATCTGCAGAGAGAGAAACAGTCAATGCTTCAAGTCGAGTGACTCCAGTTCTGAGGAAAAGTCATACCAGACTTGAAACATTAACTCGGTTTCTCTCTCCACAGCTGAGTTTCTCTAGCACTTTCTATTTTTATTTCAGATTTCCAGCATCTGCACTATATTTTGTCTGTGCTTTTATTTGATCTTTTAGAGTGCAATCCCTGTTGCAACACAGGATGTGCTGCAGCAAATGTATACATAGCAAGATCCCACAAAGAGCAATGCAACAGAGAGGAGGTACTCTATTTAAGAAAGGCTGGTTTTAAGGGACAAATGTTGACTTGGACACTGTGGAGAACTTGCCTGATCTTCTTTGAGAAGTGCCACTGGATTGTTTTTTGGTCTCTATCTGTGAAAGATGGCTGCGCCTCAGCTTAATATCTGACCAGTAGGTGTTACCTGAAGTTGGACTTCAAATCAGCCACATTCAAAGGCAACAATGTTATGCAGTGAGCCACCTTATTACAGTTTGTCATTTATATTTATGAATGTAATAAAATAACTGCTGCTACTCTATTAAGAGGTATAAAGTCCTCATGGTTTAATATGCCTCTATTTGTCAGTTAACTCATACTGGTCAACAGTGTACATTCCAAGTGGAGCTGGAATATATATATAAACTCGTTACTTAAATCTAGAATCCCTACAGTGTGAAAGTAGGCCATGTGGCCCATCGAGTCCATACTAACCCTCCAAAGAGCATCCCACCCAGACCCACCCCCCTCTGTAACCCTCCATTTCCCATGGCTTACCCATCTGGCCTGCATATCCCTGGACACAATGGACAATTTAGCACGGTCAATCCACCTAACCTGACCATCTTTGGACTGTGGGAGGAAACCCACACCGACATGGGGAGAATATGTAAACTCCGGGCTAGAATTGAACCAAGGTTCCTGGTGTAGTGAGGCAGCAGCGCTGACCGCTGAGCTACCATGCAGTGGTCATCTTTTGACATTACTCGAGGCCGGGGGGGGCGCGGTGTGGGGTATGTTACTTGTTTCTTGTTAAAAATCCTATTTATAAGAGCTAGCTGTTGAGAGGAGGTATGGTATGTAGATAGCACATTCCTGTTTGAAGATCCATCTATGGTAGATGAAGAAAGGGAGGTGGGAGTAGGACTGAAAGTGAAAAGCATTGTGCAAAAACAGAATGTTGGAATGTAAAAATGCATTGAGGAAAAAAATAGATTGGTGAGGACGGAATGTGAAAGCTTCAGTGGTCATCCCAGTGTTTTCACAGAATGAACAGGAATGCAGAGCCATGCTACACTCTTAATTTAAGCTTTTATTTCATCTCATCCTTGACCTCAGTTGATGATACCGAGAAACATTATGACCATGCCCAATTCCAGCCACAATGATGCTATTTTAAATATCAGCTGCCTGTACTAAAAATATCCACAGAACTGTGTAGACCTTACTCTTTGGTGTGTGATGTTTCTGTGGTGACCAGACTGTTTATCCACCCTCTCTGTGTCATTAGAGTCAATCGAACAATATTAACCCAAAGATGTTTTCAGGAATTTACACATTCCGCATAAGATTTTCCACAGCTGTCTTTGCTGAAGGGCTGTTGTGGTGTGTTTGGAGACAGGAATCACCTGTTTTTGTTTGGACAGAGAGGTTTTTGTTGTGTGATTTTCTGTTCACTGGATTTAACATAAAGATCAGTGAGCAGATGGCTGCAAGTGTGTCTTTAATAGCTTAGAATGATAGTTTTCGAATTGGGCGTGTTTGCATGATGGATTTTTGCAACGATGTGATGATTTGAGGGTGTAGAATTTCCATGGGTATCCTCAGAGAAAAGGTATCAGCGTCTGTTTCTGCCTCATTACACTTCGGCAGAATTATGGTGGAAGAACATTCCTGGAATTTGAAGTCAAGATCTGTCCAACTCTAAGCCTCCTGTAAGATGCTCCCTAAAGCCTGCTCTTTGACCATGATTTTTTGACATCCGAAGCCAAAAGGGACTTGAGAGTCCTAGTTCAGAACTCTTTTAAGGTTAGTGTACAGGTTTTGTCAAAATTCTTTTATGGGATGTGGGTGTTACTGACCAGGCCAGTATTTATTACTCATCCCTAGTGCCCAATGGGCAGTTAAGCATCAACCACATTGCTGTAGGTCTGGAGTCACATGTAGGCCAGACCAGGTAAGGACATCAGTGAACCTGAAATAATTCCAGAGGCTGATATCCTGTCAACAAGTCCCCCTGTATTTACACATGGAGAGTCCTTGACTATGATCCAGCTCCCTCAGAGCCAGCTCTCAGAGTGAGCAGAACCCCTGACACCCCTGTTTATATCTGTCAGCCAGAGCTCCCTGATTGGACCAGGTTAACAGTCCCAATCAGGAAACTCATGGTCTATGAGGTCCACCTGGCTGACCTCGTTACAGTCACTAGAGAACCAGATGAGTTTTTTGTGACAATTGACAATGATTTAACTGTCATCATTTGGCCCTTAATTCCAGATATTAACTGAATTCAAATGCCACCATCTGCTATAGCAGGATTTGAACCCTGGTCCCCAGAACATTACCAGGGTCTGTAGATTAATAGTCTAACAATAATACCACTAGGCCATCACTGCCACATAAAAATTCAATTGGCAGTTAGGAAGGCAAATGCAATACTAGCAATCGTTTCAAGAGGGCTAGAATGCTCCTGTGAAACACCTTGTGACTTTTGGTATGCTATGATAGTGGTGTTATGTAAGTGCAATTTGTTGTTGGAACAAAGTAGAGACTGTGTTACTTTCCAGTATCAGGTTGGACCTGGATTTCTTTTGGACTGTATTCACTCTAGTAATGGCAGAATGTTAAGTTATCTCTATTGATGCATCATTCTGTTTAATGTCTACGACATTGCTGGATAGTTTAGGCAATCAAATACCTCTCAACCCAAATTTTCCAGTGTTCTTTGCTGCGCTTTTGAGGAGAAAATTTCTTCCAAATCAATGGCAGGAAATATACATCACATAGATCTTTTGGGAGCTCTAAATACAAATAAATCAACCCTTAATCTGTATTTTAAAAACTCCACTGCTTAGTGTTTGGTATCACTCAGGCTTTTAACCATCCTTTTCTCCACTCCCCTGCCCAATTAACAGGCACAATTTTCACATATTGGAGCATCTCTTCATTCCAGAACTCCATATACATACAGAGTACCAGAAGAGGCTCAGCTGGTTTTTCTAATAACAAATGGACTCTATGGCATTGTGCCACAATTACTTGCCTACAGATGTGTGAATAACCCTGAGTTTTTCTTGAAGAGGAAAGAAGACCCAAAGACAAAGTAAAAAAAAAACTCAGTCAACTAAATGTTTTATTTTTCTGTACAAAGGTTGCATTATTTGTTACCCAGATTCAATATTAGAGTAAATTTCCTATTAAACAAATTGTATTGGTGCATTGGAAATGATTTCTTTTTTCTATTTTGGTATTGGTACTGTATTATTCTTCCAAGGTTATTATTGTGTGAAGTTATGGAACTGTGTGCATAAGGAAAAAATGTGAAATAATTACCAAAAGCAAATGCATTTATTTTGCTTTGGGACAAACAGTTTCTGGCCTGAGATAGATGCCAAATCCAGTCAATTTCAGTGCTTACAATCCAGTCAATTTCAGTGCTTACAATCCAGTCAATTTTAGTGCTTACTGTGTGTGGTGCAATTTGTTGAAGTATCAATTTTATATAATGACGACCAGACAGGAGCTGAGCAGAATATTTTTTAGTAAATTCACAGCAGTTCATTACTGGCATTTATTGCACTTCCCGAATTGCCCTTGTGAATGTGGCAAGCTGCCTTCTTGAATACAAGTGAGTTCCTTCGTAGACCACTTTCAAGGGACAGTTAAGAGTAAACCAGGTTGCTATCAGTCTGGAGTCACATGTAGGCCAGACTGGGGAAACTTGACAAATTTCTTTCCCTAAAGGATGTTAGTGAGCCAGACGTACTTTTATGACAATCTAGTCATTACTGAGACTGACTTTTATTCCAGCCTTATTTAATTAATGATGGGTTTTGAACTCTGGATCACTGGTCCAGTAACGTAACTAGCCTGCGCCCATACCAAGTTTTAATGCTGTTATTTGTTCCGATTTTGAATGCTCTTCCTTAAGGGGCGGTGGAAGCAGATTCAGTTGTAACTGTCTCAAAGGAGATGGAAAAATACTTGAACTGAAAATGTTTGCAGGACTGCAGGGAAAGATCAAGGAAGTGTTGGACAAACTGAAAGCTCTTTCCAAGAACCATTCCCAGGTACAATGGGCTGATGGATATCCAGTCTCATAAGATTCTGCAAATTTCCAGAAACAGTGCAGATGCTGACATTGCAGTAGCATTACATGAGTTATTGCAATAAAATCTACAGCCTTGAGTGTGTGCTGCATGGTCACTTCTGTGTTAATTTACACAGTTAATGCGAAAATAACTATCTGTTTACAAAAGCTGAATTGTATGGATGGGCCTTCTTTATTAAACTGAATTGAAATGATACCTTGTCTAATATTTTTCATCAAATATTACAAATTGATGCATTAAATTCTTGATGTTTTTAATGTTATATGGGGGGCATTGGACTTTGAGGACACCCTTAGCTGGGTGTCCTTGGTTGTACAAGTGGTTTATATTGTTGCTGCCTTTGGCTAGAATGAAATACTATTAAAGGTTTTTAGCCTGAATTAAAGCATGTTTTACTTTCATGTCCTCCTGGTCTGCAAACAGATCTCTGTTCTGTTAGTTCTGTCTTGGATGTGAGTCCAATGGTAGCTTTTATTACATGAGGGAGAAACAGTTGCACAGATATTGAAGAAAAAGCAAGAATGGGACTTTGAAAGAGTCACTGCATTTTTGATGGGCTGAATGGTCTCCTTGTATATTGTATTACACCGTGAGCTGCCCAGCTTCCATTGTTCCATGATTTGTGGCTTTGCCTCCAGCCAACAAGATCTTAAACTTTGGAATTCTCTCCCTAAAAGTCTCTGCCAGTTTTAAAGCCCCATCATCCCCCACCTCCTTTAAGATCCATTTGACAAACCTTTGATCACCTCTACGTCTTCATTGGCTTACTGTCAAATCCTGTCCAACGACACTGTTCTGAAGTGCCTCAGGATGTTAACGAGACATTCAGGGTACTGGCTAAATGTAAGTTGTTATTTTCTAGTGTGGGGTAGAGGGAAGAAATGATACACAAGGCTGGAATGCTTGCAATTAGAAATCAGTGATATGATATTGGAGCTATTTCAACTGTAATTGTTTCTTTAAAAAATTGTTAAATTGATAAACAATGAGAAGGATTAAAAATGAATTTCAGTCTGTCATTTTGCTTCTCTTGTTGTAAATGCACTGTAACATGCTAATGTTACCCGAGTACAGTGAAAGATCTGGCTCATAAGACATTAGAATCAGAGTAGCTTGGGTGAATTCACACTGGATTTCAGAGGTAAAATAGCGTGAAAAATAGCTCACTAGAGTCAGGGCTGCAGGCCCACACCAGCTACTACACATGCACCATCATAAGATTTATCCGTCACTTACCCCTGCCTTCTTGATAAAATTCTTTTACAGGTGGAGAGAGAAGCTGTTGACACAGCACAATTAACTGGCAACACCATTTTCTCTGGTTCAGCAAATTTATAATGGGTGATAATTCAGACAGTATGGCTCAGTACAGTACAAACGTACCTTTCAGCTCCCTCATGTGGTTCACTTCAGCTAACCGTCCATTTGTTCTACATTGCAGACTTAAATCAGTAGACGTTTTAACCTGGTAGGGAGAGGGTGGATGATCAGGATATTATTTAATGGAACAGAGGAGGACAAATATTAAAATATTTTTTGAATGTTGAGAAATCAAGAGATATGGAGGAACAAAAAGATTTTGATACGCATTTAGAAAAGAACTAAAATCTAGTGCAGAAAACAGTGTAAATGCGAATGGAATGTTTATCTTTATTTCAAAGGGGCTGGAATATAAAGTGAGAAAGTGAAGCTTCCATTGCACAGAACTGTAGTCAGATGACACGGAATCCCAGGAAAGATGTATCAAGAGGGAGTGCCTGCTGCTATGACCCCTTCCTATCCCACTTGCTGATCATGGAACTTAATCATTGCATTCAGTGGAGTCCATTGTAATATTTACATGTCAGATCATAAAGCGATCATCTCCATCTCTGACAGCACTCTGTCAGCTTTCACAAGTCACGGATCGCTTATGGCTAGCATTTCCCTCATTTTAACTCATTGCTACTGACTTCAGTATTGGTAAGATGCCAATGTTCAATTTTCAAGGACCCATGGTATGTTGCAAATCACTTTTGACCAGAGTTTGAGCCCTGAGCACCTTTCCTCTGCCTACATCGCAAATGGTGATGAAATGATTGCAACTTAGATGTAGCTGGAGTTTGCAAATGTATTTTCCCCTTCCATGTCCTAGTGTCCAGCAGATGTGGATCACACTATTTCATCCATCAAACAGACACTGACTCCGCCCAGCCTGAACCCTGTTCCTGTCATTTTCCAGTTGCATTTCACATGTAGTGAACAACATGTAATGACAGGGAAAATGCACTTTGTGGTGAACACCATCAACAGTGAGCTCTGCTAGCTGCCAGATGCAGAGCCTCTATGCCCTGTCTTACCTCACAGTACCTTGGTAGCCCATTTCCACCCATCCACCAGTGAAAGCCACCGCATTGAACTTTGCCTCTGCCTTCCCTCTCTAGCCCCTGACCCTGACATCCACCCTCCTCCTCTACATTCCCCCTGTAGAGGCTAAGGTGGTGGTCACTACCCCATTCTCATCTTGTTAGCCCACCATGCTCTTTGATACTATTCCACATCATCCCTTTATTATCTTGATTTTGCTGCCTCACTGTCCTTGTGCCAACTTGATAAATACCTCTCCTGCCCTGCCCCTTGATGACCTCATCTTTTATCAATGAACCTCCCTTTGCACCCTCCTCACCAATCAACACAGGGTCCACAGACAGAGATAGTAGGAACTGCAGATGCTGGAGAAGTATTTATCAAGTTGGCAC